AAAAAAAAAAAAAAAAAAAAAAAAAATGAAAAGTTCGAAACCATAGCTACAATTGTCCTTTAATTTTTTGTTGATTTCACTTTGTTTATTCCTGGTATAAATAAATAATTATTAAACCCACCAACAAGAAAAATTGTTCAGTTGCTAGATATTATCCCAAGAAATCAAAGAACCAACAAGAATACACTGATTATTTCTACAGATTTACAAACTCAAAATATTCACTAGCATCAAAGTATCAATCTTTTTTGGCTCACAGTCATTGTACCTTTTTTCACAAAAGAAAAACTTCAAACCCTAACCCTCAAAATATGAATCGCTGATGTAGCGATCAAGAATTTTTAAATTTATATAAAATAATTTTCTCAAGAAACGTGTCGCTAAATTTTAAACCCTAACATAAAAGTGAAAACGTGTTCGTCTAGCCGTCATAAACGAATTTAAATTTTTTTTAATCGAATTCATTTTCGAATAATTTTAAAGTATCAATTTCTTATTATTTTGTTTTAAATCCGAATTTTAGTAAAATTTAAGTGATAAATATATATATCCTATAATTGTTTAAAGTCCAATTACTTAAAGTCGGATTCTATAAATCCAACTAATTAAGTCCAAATCGAAAGCATTTCAGCCCAATTACCTTAGGCTCAAATTTGAAAATATTTACAACCCAACTTCCTGACCGAATTAGCTTCCTCGGGATTTGTGCCCTAATTTTTTTTTTTTTTTTTTTCTATTCATAGAAACTCCTCCTCCCTCCTCTCCTCACCATTCTAGCAGCCATTTTGGGTAAGTCTCTCTCTCCCTCAATCCTTTCCACCATGATTTCACCATTGATGCTAGAACATCAATTTCTAGCATCAACAGGAAACCACCAACAGCACCACCTCAACCTACCAAGCTCAAGCTATTGCAAAACACCAACAACACCACACTGCTCAACACCCAAAATCAGCTCCAAAATCGCCACTTTTCACTCCCAATCGACAGCCATCCTTCCACCAACAGCCACACAAAACCAAGAAATAGCATAACCCATAACTTACCTTACTTTCCTCAACCCATTTCTCAAGCTTGAGCCACCAAGGAAACCAAAAGAAAAATCGAGCCCCATTTCCCGATTCCGAACTAATCGCCCAAATGAAAACCCCCCATTTGCCCCATGTACCGGCGCCACCACAGTGGTAGCACCGCCACCGACCGGACAGTCGGTGGTGGGAATCGGATGATGGGGGCTGCCCCTTTTCCCCTCCTCCCGTCGCTTCCCTCTCTCTCTCTCTCTCTCTCTCATGTAAATGAGAGAGAGGAGAGAAAGGAAATGGTGATTTTTAATTTTTAATTTTTTGAAATTGCCTTTATGCCCCCAGGTTTTAAATTGATTTATTTCAGTTCCAAGGTTTTAAATTTTTTAATTTCAGTCCTTAAATTTTATTTTTAGTTTTAATAGAGTTTCAATTAAGTCCCTGATTTTCTTAAAAGTTTAATTTCAGCCCTTAAACTTTTATTTCCAATTTCATAGATTTCCAATTAAGCTCCTGAACTTTATTTTATATCATTTTAAATTATTATCTCAGTCCCAAGGTTTCAATATTTAGTAAATCAGTCCCTAGAGTTCCCATTTCCCACATTTAACCCCATTACTTTGAAAATATTATTTTCAGCCCCTATATTTGTTAAATTCAGTTTTAATAAATATCCAATTAGGTCCCTAAACTTTATTTTAAAAGTTTAAATTTCGGAATACTAATTCAAAACCTAATTTCTATTTTGGCTAGACGAAGCGTGCGGACGATTAGGAGATTGAGGTTACGTCCCACTCCACTTTTTACGAGACTCGAGATAATTTGAGGTAGACTCGCCACCATTAATTAGTTTAAATTATAATTGCATGTATTATGTGAATTTACGTGATTTATATGCTTTGATGCATGAGATGAGAATATGTCATATGAGATATATGATATTGTTATACTTGCCATAACTTATATGCTTTATTGCATGAGAAGAAGACGAGTATCTCTTATGAGATAAGATGAGAATGTTATGCATAACTTATGTCAATGATGGTTATGCAAGTGGGGGAGGCATCATAAGAGATCACTCAGGACAATGTATCAGTGCTTTCTCAATTTCGTATGGATCATGCATGATATTAGATGTAGAGCTCCGGACTATTCTTGA